GCAGCTGCCCTGACATCTTCATTTACCACCTCCATTATGCATTTTCCAATGATCTGTCTCAGCACTTCCCCCACTCCTAGAGTTATTACTTAATAATTATGATTTAGTGATTTTTTTTAAATTCTGTGAATTAATTACTTAATTAAATGATTCTTTTTTAAAGTAAACATTATGATTTAAAGTGAATTTTTATTTATCTCGATTGGTTACTGAAAATAATTTAATTTTCATGGGTTTATATATTGGTGAATTTAGAGAGTAGAGAAGTGTTAAGTGTGTGGATATCTAGTGAGAATTATAACTATATAGTATGTCTGTTATTATTTTTATATATTAATGAGAATTAGAAAACATTCTATCTCATACATTTGTGGTGAAATTTAAATTTTATGTAGCCTACTGTATATTCTCTGTGCAAATGATTTTTAAGTTATAATAATTTTTATAAATAATGATTTAAAGTGCATTTTATCTGAGTATTCGCTTCATCCATATTTACTGACAAGGAATTTCTTAAATTGATAACACTTTGTGTACTACCAAATCTTACTAATTGCCTACTGCCCAAATCATCACCTGCATTACCTTGTCTAAATAACAAATAATAAAGTAGTATACTCCAATAATTTGATACATTATGAGTTACTATATTAATAACTGCTGATGTGATATTCATAATTATTCTTCGTGGCATAGCAAGTGATGAATTCATGTTTATGTCACAATACAATGATAACAACGGTGGGACATTATAAAACGACGCTGTATACCATAGAGGCTCACGTTGCTTAAAAATAAGACGAATGAGCAGGCTTTCTGTGAAATAACAGAAAGCATAGGGTTTCCTTTGTTGCCCTTGTGGTGCCATGGTATCGATCCCTGTTCACATGCAAAGGTCATGGGCTCAATTCCTGATATGAGACAGATTGTAAGATGGAAACACAGACGAAGACTGAACATTTCACAGTTTGGCTGTGTGGGGATAGAAGGATGTACTATAATGGGTTATTCTAGTGTGACCGACATCCACGGAGAAACGGTGGGCACCGCGGACAAGACGAGTGTTACAAGAGCACGGCCTTGCTGGCGGTACGCAGGATGCCATATCCACCGAACATTGCCCGTTAAAGTACCTGTAAAAGAGAGAGAGTGAAACAACATTGTGGCGAAGAAAAAGGGAAGAAAGATTATCAACTAAAGGAGGAGAGTTAATAAGAGGAAATACCTTTGATCCCACCCTATCTAATAGTTGGACAGAAAAATGAAAGAGCTTCTATAAAATGTTCATTAAATGATTTTATAAAGCAATTAAGGTCACTAGTTTTAGGTTGGCACATTCACTATTCATACACGATTGACAATTATGAAGGATGCAACTCTCTAGTTACACATCCCTCTTATTAGTTCGAATTTTGATAGATTTACCCAGTAAATAATATATATATATATATATATATATATATATATATATATATATATATATATATATATATATATATTAAATATAATTTACCGAGTTAATAGGGACGCGAATCATGAAATTAAATATCGGTTATTAAATTGAAAATAATTATAGATCGTTTCCCAGTCTGAAAATGTTGCGTACGTCCTAATTAAGCTGTTAATCGTCTGGTAAATAAGTCACTCCTGGAAAGCGTGAACCAGTGAGCAAGCGTGGCTGGGCAGCTGTGAGAAAGGTCAAGGACCACCTCTGTGCTGTACCCAAGAGAGACGGATCGCGTGACCTGGTTCCTTCATTTATTTAACATCAGTATTAACAAGTAAGTTTTATTCAATCTCAGACAAAGCTTGATAGGGCGGTAGGAACAAACGGTGATGTGAGACAATAGCTAACAGCCCGGGTTTTTCAGGGTTCTGTAGACCCCACGCAGTATGATAACGTCCACTGGCGGTATGAGACACGAGTGGTGAAACGAGCTGTATGACCATCCACTACCTGGGTTTGAGCCACCTGTTGAGTATGGTGAGAGTTGGAGTGAACCCAGCTGTCTAGGTGCCCAACTAACGACGTGACGATCGTTTGGGGTCATCAACTCTCCTCTACCTCGGCTCACAATACCACATATCTTCAAGCAGCTTAGTGAAAACCTTTTACTAACGAAAAGCTAAAGCTTCTCTCAACTGTACAAGGTCTGAGTGGCTCACTCCCTTCCGTTTCATGGATGTACTGGGGGTAAAGTGAAGCAAGCTGAGTGATACAGAGTCACACACTGGGACCAAGAGTCCAGTGGAACTTAGAGGTACATTTCCAAGGTTGAGAAAGGCTGGTTTGGGCCTTAAACTATGGGTGCCTGTTGGTTATGCCTTAAAAAACTACGGAGTGCAGGTGGAATCTATGTGTTAGGTTAGGAAGCATGGTTCATGGGTATTGGTGGACTCGGTAACTTCTTAATAATAGTGATAATATTTTTGTGTGTACTTAATACTATTTTTTCAGTTACTAATGTATGCTGTGTGCATTTAATATTTCCTAATAATTTCAAACTCAGGTATAACCCTTGTTCCCCAGAGTAGTGTTTAAGTTAGGTTAGGAGGTGTGTATCTGTTGGGGTAATATAATTTTGCTGAGTGCCCTGAAGGCCTACTCAGGGTGGAGTTAATAAGTTCTATTTTTTATACCATTTTCTCAGTGCTGGATATCATTTTGTTGAGTGCCCTTAAGGCCTATTCATTGTAGAGTTATTGATTTCCTATTTTTTTGTAAAATCTTCTCAGTGATTGATATTATTTTGTTGAAAGCCCTTAAGGCCTGTTTCATGTGTGCAAGCAACATTTTTTAATACTTTAAATTTATTGTTGTCTAATGAGGCATTGTCTGAATTTCTAATATTTTCAATATCATGTATAACTTTTATTCCCCAGAGTAGTGTTTTAAGTTCAGGTTAAGAGGTGTGCATATTGGTGTACCATTATTTGATTGTGTCTGTAGTGTTGGAGGGAATATAAGTGTCTAAATTTTACAGTGTGTCTCATTCATCCCAGTCACAGACGCTATCCTTCCACGGGTCACGGACAATTCATTTTGTTTAGTAAATTTTAGTGTTCTTGTGCTGGTTCGGGATTTCTCTCAAAGGGGCGCTTCCACTGCAATTACCATCTAATAATCTTTAATAAACCCCAAGTCTAGTGAGAAATTAAAGTCCAGTAATTCCGACCGGTTAAATATGTACACTAGCGAAAACGCCGCCCTCCGGGAGGCTCTTTCGCTAGGCCACAGTAGGACGCCACCCTCAGGGAGGCTCCACATTGTCTCACTGTAGTGCATTAAGGTAGACCACATTTTTGGTTTTACCATTAGCAGCAAGTATGTACAGATTTTTGCCAGTTCCCACTCTGGAGCATCCAACATGAGAGAAGCAAGGAAACACCAGGTTTAGGCCAACCTTCTTTAGAGACTGTCCCTGGCTTTTGCAGATGGTCATGGAAAACCTCACTTTAACCGGGAACTGAAGTCGCTTGAACTCAAATGGCAGGTCAATGGTGATAAGAGGTATCCTTGGTATAAAAACGTCCTCACCTTTAGCTTTTCCTGTCAGTATTGTAGCTTCCAGTACATGTGTCATCATGTTCTTCATCACCAGTCTTGTGCCATTGCAGAGGATTGGTGGTTCAAGATTTCTTAAGAGCATTATAGGAGTTTCAATCTTGAGAGTGAGGTGGTGAGGAGGCATTCCAGCGGGCTCCAAAGAATTAAGGAATTCTGCAGGGTACTGGACTGCTTGGTCCTGGTCGATTACTGTATCAACAGATTTGAATGAGGTCTCACTGCCTGGAAGCTGTCTGAGTAGAATCATGTTGATTTCAGCCACTGTTTCATTCTTTGGTGCCAGAATTGCGCGTTCACGCAGCCGCTTGTGATCCATGTAGTGGTGGATAATGTTTGGGTAGACCATGTTAGTGAGCTCAGTTGAGGACTTTACAACATTTCCACATCCACATCCACAAAGAGAGGGAAAGAAAGAATATATACTTTGGGAGAATTACTAAGGAAAGAAACAGAAAATTATATAAAAGACTGAGATAGAAAGACACTTATAACCATTAAACCTTACCATATTAAAGTGTTTATCATCTGAAGCCTTATATATGAGTGGTAGTTATAACCTTATATCTTAATAACTCTAATGTTTTGATCCTTTCTTATGATGAGCCCAAATAATAATGAATGAATAATGTGTTTCTTTCACACGCATATGTAGTATATTGGGAGCCCTCCCCTCCCCTCCTCTCCCCTCTCCTCCACAAAAAAAAATCAATATTTATAATGTAATAATTCAGCCAGATCAAGACATGGGCATGTGGTAGACCTCGTTTCTGCCACTCAATGGAATACATGTAGCACCGTGTAAGGCCAAAGATCAATAGTTCATTAATGGTGTATGTAAGTTTCACCATGTTTTTCACTACAACGGTACAGCAAAGTATATTTTTTAGCAATAAACTGTTATTATTTTATTGTTTAATCATCACTACATATAACACCATCCATCATCACTACAGATCGGTAAAGTAGTTCCGAGATTCTCGTGCGGACACACATATACTTCTTTGTTATATATATATATATATATATATATATATATATATATATATATATATATATATATATATATATATATATATATATATATATATATATATATATATATATATATATATTTGCAAATATTTTTTTTTTTACAAAATATCTGATGAAGGATAAGGATAGGGTAATAAGTTAACTAAGAATAGAGACATTCCTATTTTTAGGAATGGCTCTTATGTGATCTGAGACAATCAATATAGATTAGAGTTTAAATAAATCCATTACCATGGGCTATATTAGTTTAATAGACAAAAGATCGGTTTAGCTTAAAAATTTTGAAGAGTATATTTTCTGCAGTCATTTCATTGAACAACACCAAACTCATCCAGTCTAACACATTTTACTCACACACCAAATTCTATTGTATATCAAGGTTTTGTTATTATGGTTTCAGTGATTACATGAATGAGTCACAAGAGGAGCAGGAGGTTGTGTGTGTATGGGAGGAAGAAATAATCCATGAAGAGGAACCCGATGATTCACCTAGGAAAAAGATGTACCCAGACTTACAGGAGTGTCAAACAAGGCCACTGCATCCCTTCAGCTACCAGCGGGGTCAGTACTGGGTCCTCGAGAACTACATCCCTGCTGATCGATCCTACCCTTGCAACCAGTCTATCACCTACACTACCCACGGCGACTATACCTTCCTCGATAACCTGGAGCCCCTCACCTCTCGCTGGCAGGTCAGTGTTACACTGTAACCCTCACTGAATCTAACAAAACACCTCACACTACATCTTCTGTAACCAGTTCAACACCAACATTTACCCTCATTGACTATACTGCCTTAACAATATGAAACAACCACACTTCTTTTTTTTTTGAGTGCTTAAACCAACATTGATCAATTTTGGATTTGACTATTTTTTCTTGATTTTGTTTTGTTGTAAATCGGAAAGAAGACACAGGATAACCTTATCTGTACCTAGAAAAAGAAAATCTTGATTTTATTCAACAACCTAAATACCGGTTTGTCATGAACGGATAATAAGGATTCATATCGGTATGTCACTAATCCAACTGGCAATGACAATGAGATAATTAACTCTTTCTCGTACAGTGCACACATTGACCCAGAGTTTGCTTTCCATCCGCATCCTCTCAACAGATTCATGCAGAACACACCATTTGTTTGAGTGCCCTTCATGTTTGGAGGCATTTTATTCACTTTCCTTGGGGCTGATCTGGACAAGTGTATTGCCCTTGTAGACGTTTAGGTTTAAGAATAAAATCTGGATTCTTAAAGTCCAGGGAGGATCCTTTCCTTTAATCTTGCCGTCTTGATAGATATTGCAAGTCAATATCACTCCCATTCATTGACAACTGGGACAACTTTTATGGCAGAAAGGTCCGTTATGCTAGGGATGGGGTACATCTATCGTGGGATAGGATGGCAACCCTGGCTGGCTCTCCCGAGAGGGCAGTTCAAAAGTTGTCGAAGACTTTAAACTGCTAGGGGGACATGGGAGCACGGGAATCAAGGAGACTGCAGTGCGAGCGGGTAAATAAAATTAAAGGTTCCAGAGAAATAGTGCTAGGAATAATGACAAAGCTAAATTAGGCAGGGAGTTAAAACCTAAACGCGACAAAGAGAGGACTCAGACCACAACTAACTTCAATGTCTTCTACACAAACAGTAGAAGTATGAGAAATAAAATGGATGGAATCAAGGCGTTGGTATGTACCGAAAAAAATCGATATAATAGCATTCACCAAAGCACGGATAAACTTAGCCTCACGTGAGTTACCTGCCGAATACCATATTAAAGGTTACAAATTATTCCATACCGATAGGCAGATAAAGGAAAGGAGGCGGAGTAGCAATCTATGTCTGGGATAATCTGAAGTGTGAAATAAATAAGGAAATAATAACAATGGAATACAGAAGCAATTTGAATAGAATTAATCGACGGGAGGGAAAAATTAATCACAGGAGTAATATATAGACCTCCTAATTAGATATTCTAAAATGGATTAGGGCGTGGTTACAGAACAAGAAACAGCCAGTAAACATAAACGGCACTAAATCCGATTAGGGTAACGTTACTAGTAGAGTGCCCCAAGGCTCAGTACTTGGGGCATTACTATTTATTATATACAGTAAGTAAACGACATAGATAGCAACATAAGTAAATCTGTTGACGTCACTAAAATAGGGCGTGTAATGAAATCTGATGAGAACTAAGCAAAATTACATCATCTTGAACTCGAATACCCTGCATAGCTTCAAATATAGGTTGGACGGATATATGAGCGATGTGGGTTGGGTGTAAACGGGACTGCCCAGTATGGGTCAATAGGACCGTTACAGTTTCTTCCATTCTTATGTTCTCATGTCCCTGTGTTATTGGCATACACTGAAGGTTAGTTTCCAGCAATGCAGAAATTTCCTCCACATAGTTTACAAGATAAGTAGAGTTATATATTAAAATTCTCGTTGACCAAGGAAACCAACGTTTATGACCTGTTTATTCTTGTAAAGGCCTGGGACTTAGGGATAGAAATCCCTTACCAGGCTAATCAGGATCTTAATAAAGGAAAGTCAAGGACCATGGTTTTCTGAGGAATAACAAACAACCGTTAGAGATTGGCATCTCTTTACTATAAAAATATAACACAAAACTCTGACACCACTCAACAAACATCAAATAATTACGGGAGTCAAACAATTAAAGGAAGCAAACACTTAAAGGAATCAAACAAATAATGGGAGTCAGCCATTAATGGATTCAAACAATTAAATGGAGTCAACAATTGATAGAATCGAACAATAAAGGGGAGTCAGCAATTAATAGAATCAAACAATTATAGAATCAAACCATGAACAAATATTTCCTACGGCAGTGGCCCTGGGGGAAGGTTCTGGAACACGGTGATGCACACTCAGGGTAACGAAACGTCCACTTCGACTCCACACTCAGCGACGTCTTGAAAAGGCAGGAGAACACCGGGGCACCGACGGAATGTGATGAACTGATGGTCGTGGTATGCGGTAGTGGTAGATGACCAGAGAGTTGGCAGTTGATAGGTGAAGGTCTGGGAACACAGCCCACGAGTCCAGGACCTATGATGAGATCACAGCCAGAATTTGACGGACAGCAGGGTAGCTAGATACTGACGGTATGGCGGCTGGGTTGAATCACCCGGCGGCGGTGATAGTCGCTGCCGTTCTCACCTCCGTCCAACCACCCCAAGTGTCGTCTGCACCAGCAAACGAGCGAGTTAGCAACGGTAACTAGCCGGAGGATCGTTTCCGCCCTTACAATTCTACAGTATGTATCAGTTTAACTGTGAGGAGATAAGGTTTAATAAGATATGGTCAGCTCAACTCCTCTATATAACACAAAAAACAATGAAGTGCCTCAAAAATTATTACTTTCGACGAGGGTAACAGTGGGAAAGTAAACGAATAAGTATAAAAACAACAATAACTATAATTAACTTATAATAATTACACTTAAATCTAAGACAACAAATACGAAGTAAATTAAAAAAGAATAGGTACACAAACCGTTAACATGGAGCTTAACATCTAGTAGAAATCCAGCTCTGAGTACATTTTATACAAATATGGAAAACCGTGGAGTCACTACACAAAGAATTACAAGTGCACAGAGAAGAGTATTTACCATTAGTCACTTAGGAACGTGAAAAGGGAGACAAAACCAGGTCTAGTGATATAGATAAAGGCTAGTGACATGGGGGAAGGAGGTTCAGTGGAAGTTTCAAGGAAGGATGGAAGGGAATTTTAGTATAAAGGTGCCGTGGTTTAACACAGCTTGCGTGGTGTCGGGTGGTAGGTTTGAGGAGGTAGCAGCACCCAGCCTGAATGCGGCGGGGGAGGGGGGGATGAGTCAGGTGAACGTCAGATCGGGCAACAGTTTCTCTCTTCTTGGTCGGTTTGATCTCTTGGGTGTGGTGTTTTCTTGGTGTTGTTTGCTTTTTGATGTTTGATGGACGGGCTGCTCGATAGAAATATCTTGGTCTTCTGTTATGGGGGCCTTGTTAGATTGAAGTTGACTATCTTCTTTTCCTCCTCTTTTTGCTGTCTTGGACTGTCTAGGGTGGCAATCCTGGCTGTGTCACTCGAGAGGGCAGTTCAAAAGATGTCGAAGTCTTTAAACTGCTAGGGGAACATGGGAGCACGGGGGTGGAGGAGACTGCAGTGGGAGCTGGAAAACAAAGTGAAAGGTTACAGGGAAATAGTGCTAGGAAATATGACAAAACTAAATTAGGCAGGGAGTTAAAACCTAAACTCGACAAAGAGAGGACTCAGATCACGACTAATTTAAATGTCTACTATGCAAACAGTAGAAGTATGAGAAACAAAATGGATGATATTAGGGCCTTGGAATGTACCAAAAAAATCGATATAATAGCATTCACCAAAGCACGGATAAACTTAGCCTCACGTGAGTTACCTGCTGAATACCATATTAAAGGTTACAAATTATTCCATACCGATAGGCAGATAAAGGAAAGGAGGCGGAGTAGCAATCTATGTCTGGGATAATCTGAAGTGTGAATTAAATAAAGATATCAAAACTGAGCGGAATACAGAAACAATTTGGATAGAATTAATCGGTGGTTGTGAAAAGTTAATCACAGGAGTAATATATAGACCTCCTAATCTTGATAGAGTTAATGAGCGACTTATTTGGGACGAAATGCGCAGGGCTTCCATACATAGCAAAGTCTGTATAGTAGGTGACTTTAACTTCAGCAAAATAGATTGGACTGACCTTACGGGTAACTCAGATTCAGAAGATTTAACAATCCAGGATTGTTTCCTAAGTCAACATATAACTGAACCCACCCGGTGTAATAACATACTCGATTTACTTCTGTCAAACAGAGAAAACCTCATTAGTAATGTCCAGGTAGGGAACGAACTTGCAAACAGTGATCACAAAGAAATTAGATTCCAGTTAGAATTTCAGGACAGCCGTAAGGAAAATTCCACTAAAGTCCCAGATTTCAGAAGGGCAAACTTTGATAGTTTGAAGAGCAGGGCCGGATTCAGGAGTGGGCAAAGTGGACAGCTGGGGGCCTCCACATGTGCGGTAGTAGCTATATCAGGGCTGGTCGACTTGAAACCACGTGAATGACTCCAGTCATGTCTCACTTTTGTGTGTGTGTGTGTGTGTGTGTGTTGGGAATTTGTACACTATCAATAAATATACAGTTAATTAAAAATTTCTCAATGTTCTAATTTCCTCAATATAACTGCATATGGCTTCAAAATTCTCCAAAGAAGTGTTCAAATTTCAAAATTTTCCCGGGGGGGGCTTATAGCGCCCCCCCGGAACTCTCAGATGTTTTGTCTCGCTTCACTCGCCACCCCACCCTCTTGGATAGTTATAATGAGGGGGGCCTCCACAAAGAGGCTGCCCATGGGCCTCCACAGGTCTAAATCCGGCATTGTTGAAGAGGCAGTTGAGAGCGGGGGTATCACGCTTGGGGGTGAACTACATGACCTTACATGAGGTGACCTCACCCAATGTACCCACAGAGGGTGACCTCACCCTACCTGGAGACCTGACGGTTGAGATTGATCTGAGAACGAGATCTGAGTTGCCGAGTTCCACGACAATTTATATAATGAGTTACTTAATGCACAAAGGCAGAACATACCATACAAAAAACTCAGATCAAACAACAATGACCCTAAATGGATAAATAA